AAACCGAATTCAACAACACATCAAAAAGATTATTCACCACGACCAAGTAGGCTTCATCCCAGGGATGCAGGGGTGGTTCAACATACAAAAATCAATAAATGTAATAAACCACATTAACAGAAGCAAAGACAAAAACCACTTGATCATCTCAATAGATGCAGAAAAAGCCTTTGATAAGATCCAACACCATTTCATGATAAAAGCTCTAAGAAAACTAGGAATAGAAGGAAAGTACCTCAACATTATAAAAGCTATATATGACAAACCTACAGCCAGCATTATACTTAACGGAGAAAAACTGAAACCATTCCCTCTAAAATCAGGAACCAGACAAGGATGCCCACTATCTCCACTCCTATTCAACATAGTACTGGAATTCCTAGCCAGAGCAATTAGGCAAGAAGAAGGAATAAAAGGAATACAAATAGGTAAAGAAACTGTCAAAATATCCCTATTTGCAGACGACATGATCCTATACCTTAAAGACCCAAAAAACTCTACTCAGAAGCTTCTAGACATCATCAATAGCTATAGCAAGGTAGCAGGATATAAAATCAACATAGAAAAATCATTAGCATTTCTATACACTAACAATGAGCAAACGAAAAAGAATGTATGAAAACAATTCCATTTACAATAGCCTCAAAAAAATCAAATACCTAGGTGTAAACCTAACAAAAGATGTGAAAGACCTCTACAAGGAAAACTATACACTTCTGAAGAAAGAGATTGAGGAAGACTATAGAAAGTGGAGAGATCTCCCATGCTCATGGATTGGTAGAATCAACATAGTAAAAATGTCATACTCCCAAAGTAATCTACATGTTTAATGCAATTCCCATCAAAATTCCAATGACATTCATTAAAGAGATTGAAAAATCTACTGTTAAATTTATATGGAAACACAAGAGGCCACGAATAGCCAAGGCAATACTCAGTCAAAAGAACAATGCAGGAGGTATCACAATACCTGACTTCAAACTATATTACAAAGCAATAACAATAAAAACAGCATGGTACTGGCACAAAAACAGACATGAAGACCAGTGGAACAGAATAGAGGACCAGATATGAAGCCACACAACTATAACAACTTATCTTTGACAAAGGAGCTAAAAATATACGATGGAGAAATAGCAGCCTCTTCAACAAAAACTGCTGGGAAAACTGGTTAGCAGTCTGCAAAAAACTGAAACTAGATCCATGTATATCACCCTATACCAAGATTAACTCAAAATGGATCAAGGATCTTAATATCAGACCCAAACTCTTAAGTTGATACAGGAAAGAGTAGGAAATACTCTGGAGTTAGTAGGTATAGGTAAGAACTTTCTCAATGAAACCCCAGCAGCACAGCAACTAAGAGATAGCATAGATAAATGGGACCTCATAAAACTAAAAAGCTTCTGTTCATCAAAAGAAATGGTCTCTAAACTGAAGAGAACACCCACAGAGTGGGAGAAAATATTTGCCAACTATACATCAGACAAAGGACTGATAACCAGAATATACAGGGAACTTAAAAAACTAAATTCTCCCAAAACTAATGAACCAATAAAGAAATGGGCAAGTGAACTAAACAGAACTTTCTCAAAAGAAGAAATTCAAATGGCCAGAAAACACATGAAAAAATGCTCACCATCTCTAGCAATAAAGGAAATGCAAATTAAAATCACACTAAGATTCCACCTCACCCCTGTTAGAATAGCCATCATCAGCAACACCACCAACAACAGGTGTTGGCGAGGATGCAGGGAAAAAGGAACCTCTTACACTGCTTGTGGGAATGTAGACTAGTACAACCACTCTGGAAAAAAATTTGGAGGCTACTTAAAAAGCTGGACATCGATCTACCATTTGATCCAGCAATACCACTCTTGGGGATATACCCAAAAGACTGTGACACAGGTTACTCCAGAGGCACCTGCACACCCATGTTTATTGCGGCACTATTCACAATAGCCAAGTTATGGAAACAGCCAAGATGCCCCACTACTGACGAATGGATTAAGAAAATGTGGTATCTATACACAATGGAATTTTATGCAGCCATGAAGAAGAACGAAATGTTATCATTCGCTGGTAAATGGATGGAATTGGAGAACATCATTCTGAGTGAGGTTAGCCTGGCACAAAAGACCAAAAATCGTATGTTCTCCCTCATATGTGGACATTAGATCAAGGGCAAACACAACAAGGGGATTGGACTTTGAGCACATGATAAAAGCGAGAGCACACAAGGGAGGGGTGAGGATAGGTGAGACACCTAAAAAATTAGCTAGCATTTGTTGCCCTTAACGCAGAGAAACTAAAGCAGCTACCTTAAAAGCAACTGAGGCCAATAGGAAAAGGGGACCAGGAACTAGAGAAAAGGTTAGATCAAAAAGAATTAACCTAGAAGGTAACACCCACGCACAGGAAATTAATGTGAGTCAACTCCATGTATAGCTACCCTTATCTCAACCAGCAAAAACCCTTGTCCCTTCCTGTTATTGCTTATACTCTCTCTACAACAAAATTAGAAATAAGGGCAAAATAGTTTCTGCTGGGTATTGAGGGAGTTGGGGGGAGAGGGAGGGGGTGGAGTAGGTGGTAAGGGAGGGAGTGGGGGCAGGGGGGAGAAATGACCCAAGCATTGTATGCACATATGAATAATAAAACAATAAAAAAAAAGAGTTCAGCAAAATTTTGTTTGAGAGTAGCTTTTCTCCTGCTTCACATTTCTGAAATCATGGAATATGCTTGGAGAAGATGATTGTCCAAGGTACTAGTAATAAGTAGCTAAATCATTCTCAATCAAAATTCATATGTAAGCATAAACATATCCATTTAAATTTGGTTATCACCCTAGGAACGAATGCATGATGACAATGCACAAAAGGAACACATACAAATGGTACACTTGAGTAATTGAATACACAGAATGCACTGGCTTAGAACTTTCATCTCCTTTATCTGTGATAGTTTCTTTTTCATCTTCTATTTCTGTCTTCCTCCTATTTCCTCCCACCCCTTACAAATTTGGGCTCACTTCTCTCTTTACTAGCTCTAGATATGTTTGTTTGTTTGTTTGTTTTTTCAGGACTAAAGACCTACTTTTTAAATACCTGTTTAGCATCAGGACACGATGTCCTCATTGCACCTTGAGCCGAATACACCCAAAGTTGCATTCACCTTGTTATTCCACCCAAACAAGCATCTCTTCCTGAGATTCTTTTTTCCAAGATTAGAAATCTCAGCTGGTTTCGATGCCTCTTTCCTAATAGCCTATATTTAGATAGTTCATAGTCTTTGAATCCTAATCATCTTGTTCTCCTTCCCATGCCTGCTTCTATCCTCCATTGACAAGATTCTTGCCCTGATTCTACCATGACTTCCCAACTGGCTTCCTAACGGCCTTCCAGCCCCCAGTCTCCTCCCATTACAATATAGCCTGCACATTGTACTTGGATGACTCTTGCTAAATCACAGAAGCAATCACTTGCTTTCATTCTCAAAAATCTCCCACTGAGATTTCAACAGATTGAATAGAAACTCATGCTTGGTGTCTGAGGCTCTCTACTATATAGCATCAAATTATCTGTTTTGTTTTGTTTTTTATCTCTATTCCTTTGCTCCTGAAATTGTAAATGAGTGCCCCACAAAGCTAGATCTAGCAGGCACACGTCATTTTCTTTGACCCACACAGCAGCTTTCATGTTTTGCAGTAGTTGCTTACTTCAAATGCAACATTTACATATCAGAAGACTTCATATATAAATTCTGATTCTCACTTCTCATGAATACTGGAGTTATCTGAGAACTTTAGACTGTGTGGCATAAATTGCTAGGCAGCCTTTTAAATAGGGTAATGCCCCAGTTTACCAAGACCTTTGCCTGATCGGAGTCACACAGTCTGGGGCTGGTTGGGAGCTGGAGGTCTGTGAGTTCGTGATGCTGTTCCATACCAGCTAGCACTCCAGCCAAGGGCATCTAGAGTGCCTTTGCTTATCTTCTCTCATCTTTCTAGAATGCCCTCTCCTTCCATCTTCCTGTCTTTGAGGCCCATTTCTAGCACCCCATCTTCCATAAAGCCTTTTCCTCCTGCCCCTCTGGGTGTCACTACCCTGTTTCTGAACCTCTCTGACACTCCATAGAATCAGTCACTGGGTATTCCCGGTTGCTCAGGGAGGTGGAGAGATGCACACTTCTTCCTGCTCCTCCAGTTTTCTTGACCTAGACCTTTCTCTTCCTTGCCATGAAGATGGAGCAAGTTTTCCCTGCCCTACTTTTTCCTTGGGGATCTGCCTGTCTATACAATAGAAGGTCCTGTTCTGCCCTGATGTGGCAGAAGAGCCTGAAGTGGTCAGCACTATCTGTGTGTGTGCACTTTCCCCTTGCTGAGGTACAAAATTGAGAGACCCACTGTTGTCACACATCCAAGGCAGAATTTTTCATTCAGGTTTTATCAACAAACGAAGCCAATATTTTCATCTTCAACTGTTTCCAAACCCAAGCTGGGAAAAGAGGGTTTTTAATTGATCCCTTTCTAAGCCTAACAATACTTACTCTTCCTCGAAACTTCGGTGGGTGTGGGTGTGGTGTGGTGTTGCATTGTTTTGTTTTGTTTTGAGACAGGGCCTTGCTATATAGTCCAGGCTGGCCCAGAACTCTTGATTCTCTACCTCAAGTGCTAGGATTACAGGCATGACCCACAAACCTGGCTTTCTCTTGAACTTTTTGCAGTAACTAGCAAAGTTCATTTCACAGGCAGGCATTCAAAATTATTTATCAAATTAAATCAAAAGATATAATCACTGTGCATAAAACTTATGCAATATAATTTCTCTTAGTCCCATAATTTAAATGTCTCTTTGTAAAGTTAAAAAAAAATACAAATTACTCCATATATAGCATAAATATTTATTTCCTATTTACATTTCCATTCTTACGTAAATTATTATGCATCACATCATACACCAAAGAAAAAGGAAAAAGCAAATGTAAACCTTAAAAACCAGGAAGAAAGCATCACACCGTGGTATTCCTTAGCAGTCTCGCAGGTCTCGCTTCTTGCTTTTCTTTGATTTTTTGCTTGTTTCCTGACGAATGGTATCATACTCCAAAATAGCCATTCTGGAGAGTCTCTGTAAGTACTGAGATGATGCTCCAGTGAGAGGGTCGCTGAAGCCAGAACCTGTGAAGGAGAAAATCAGCTATCAGAACCAGTGTAGGCATGCATGGATAGTATTCTACAAAATATGATGAGTGAAATATTTGTTCCATAAATGCTTATAAAAACAACACGAGATCTTTATATAATACAGGCTTTGAATTAGAAATACCCAATGCCAGTGGAGTGGCTCAAGTGGTAGAACACCTACCTAGCAAGTGTGAGGCCTCAAGTTCAAACCCCAGCACTGCCAAAAAAGGAATGTCAATGCCAGCTCTCTAAAATGACTGACTGTGATGGCAAGTCACCTAAAAATCCTAATTAAAAATCAGTACTTTTGTTTAATTATATAAACTTAACTCTGAGTCTGTGTTGTGCTTTTAAAAACATAGGATAGCTGCACAACCTATTCTAAGGCAAAAGGCACACTCTCCATAAGTAATCAACCTTACACACCCATCAAAGTATCTTCTCCAATAACATAGTTTCTTACAAACGATAGCTGAAGTAAAGCAGTAAGATCATAAAGTTAAGTAGATCACTTGCAGTGGCCAAGCTCCTACAACAGTGGAGTGGTAATTAGAATAATAACGGATTACATTCATCGAAGAGTCTCTTCACTTTTTTGAATTCTCATTGTAGAGTATGGCACATATACCCCGTCCACACAACAGCACCATGAAGTAGTAACTAGCGTTATTCCAGATTATAGACTTTGAAAAGGTGCTGAGGGTGGTGGGCATGGTGGTGCATACCGTAATAGCAGCATTTGGGAGACTGAGGCAGTAGGATTGCAAGTTTGTGGCCAGCTTTGGCTATAGAGTAAGATACTGTCAAAAGAAAGAGGGAAGGAAGGAAGAAAAGAGAAACAGAGAAAGGAAAAAGGTGGTTTAGGGAGGCTAAGTGACTTGCCCAAGGGCACATACCTAATAGTTATCATTGGCAGGATTTGAATCCAGAACCACCAAACTCAAAGTGCCTATGGAATCACTACATATTGCCCTAAATATGTAAATATGTACAAGTACTTCTATTTAGAAACACACCAGAGTTTGAAAATAATATGCTGACCCATATTGCTTTAAAAGTCATTATTCAACTTTAAATAATTTCAACTGTCAAAAGAAAACTGTTTCAATTCTCCAATGCAGTTATTATTTCTGTTTGGTTTTTATTTCCTTTGCAGGTATGATATGATATGAAGAAGTTCAGAAAGATGGGGAAAGTCAAATAGTTGAACTTAAGAATATGATCAAGCCATATACTAATAAAAATGGTGTTTTAAATAAAATTATTATCAGGGACTGGAGGTGTGGCTCAAGTGGTAGAGTGCCTGCTTTGCAAAGTGAAGCCTGAGTTCAACCTCAGACCCACGAAACAAAAAGAATAGGATCAGAGCTCCTTAGCAGCAAACTGGACCTGACACTTAGAAAGACGCTCTGGCAACAACAAGAGTAACTAGATTCCAGGTGTTAAGCAAACATTAAAAAACCTCAAAGAGTTATTATTTATCTTGTAGTCAAACAAAATTAAAGTAGAAGTTGTTAATAATAAAATAAATGCCAAAATTCTCAAATATTTTTTAAAATGTATACTCATCTTCATAAGTCACACACAAAAAAAATCATGCTGGGAATGGTGACACATGGAAGACCCTATATGAAAAATAAACTAAAAGCAAAAAGGACTGGGGTGTGGTTCAAGTGGTAGGGCACTTTCAAGGCCCTGAGTTCAAACCACAGTACTGAAAAAAAAGAGGAAAGAAAGAAATCATAATGAAACATTTAAAATACTTGTACTTAAATGATAAAATATCACAAAACTGTGGTGCAGCAGAAGTTGTACATACAGAGGTTTACACTCTTAAATTCCTGTGTTAGAAAAGAATGTCAAAAATGTGTAAGTGAGGTCTAAGACGTTAGGATAAAGGTAAACCCCCAAACAAGAAAAAACACAATACAGGAAAAAAGGGGCAGGAAACAATGAAGTAGAAAAAAAGTTACAATGAAGATTTGTGTGTGTGTGTGTGTGATATTGGAGTTTGAACTCAGGGCCTCACACTTGTTAGGCAGGTGCTCTACCACTTCAGTGACTCCACCAGCCCTCTTTTGTGTTGGGTATTTTTGAGATAGATTCTCACGAACTATGCCTGGACTGGCCTCAATCTGCGATCCTCCTGATCTCTGCCCATGGCAAATCATCTCTCCAAACTTTTTATTCCTTCTTCCATTACAGAATTTTAGCTGGGCACTTAGATGACATTTTTGTACATACAGCTAATCCTAGCCTTGCTACTAAGTTACTAACAGAAATATAGCTACTCAGGAGGCAGAGATCAGGAGGGTTGTGGTTTGAAGCCAGCCCAGGCAAATAGTCCACATGACCCTATCTCAAAAAAACCCATCACAAAAAAGGGGGATGACTCAAGGTGTAGGCCCTGAGTTCAAGCCTCAGAACCTCCAAAAAACAAAGAAAGAAGAAATTTCTGTTGTTTTTAAGCTACCCAGTTGGTATTTTGTGATAGCCTCTCAAACAGATGAAGACATTTGAATCATCTGTATATCTGCTTCTGTTGTCTGTTTCTTCTTTTGGTTTTCTTATATTCCTCTATGCCTCATAAATTTTGATTGAGTGCTAGATACTGTGTATGAAAACCTACATGTAAGGCTCTGGCTCATTTTACAGTCCTCTAGAGACAATTCAGTTTTCTTCTAGCAGCAGATATGCCTTTACAGCATTCAGTCCTTCAGGAGTTTGAACTTAAAGCCTGGAGTGTTTTTCAAGGGCCCTCCATGTTGGCAGGTTCTCTACTTCTATCTCCACAGCAAATGCTAAGTTACTGAAATCTCCACTTGGTTCTCTAGCTTCCCCAAAGCTACTTTCTGCTTGATTTCCTGAAATATTGCCACCATACATCGCCTTGGGAACAAACACCTAGAAGAGAAATTGTATACAGAATTTTGGGCTCATTTCTCTTGGGTTATTTCTCCAGGATCTCACCTCTCAAGACCTGGAAAAGTCACTCTGATATAAGCAATTCTATCATAGCCAGAGCTCTTATGAGTCATTTTTTTTAAAGCTATTGCTATCAAAATGGGTGCTAGTTGTCATAGTGATCCTTCAAAAATTTACTTCACATTAAAAACATTCTTTTGAGTTGTGCACAGCCATAATCCTAGCCCTCAAGAGACAAGCAAAAAGAGTTTGAGGCCAGCCTGGGCCTTATAGAAAGACTGTGTCTCAAGAAAGAATTATTCTTTTGTTACCAAAATGATTGAAAGGGTTCCTCATTTCAGAGCTAGATACAAGTGGTCTCTAAGGCTGTACATGATCAGATATTCCATTATTTCTCTTTCCTGTCTTCTTCTACTTGGCTATAGTTACTCATAGTGTTCTATCAAAGGCTAGGCACCATTCAGTATTTGAAGACTTACCTTCTAAATTAAACCTACTCTAACCATCCTACCTAAAATTGTAAATCACTTCTCTACCCCATCTCCTGATTTCCCTTATCCAGCTCTGTTCTTGTTGCAGTTTCTATTGCATTTAATTTCTCCTATGCTTTCTAAAGGGTTTGTTGACTCTGTTTGCTGTTGTGTCTATATCCTCTGACCTAAGTGTTAAGTGTCACAAGGGCAGGGATCTTCATTTTCTTCAGGTGTATATCCCTAAGCCCAAGCACCTAGCACCTGGCACACTGTAGATACTCAATTCATGTTTGGTGCCATATGACTCTAAAGAAAAATAATTTTCAGCAAGTATTTATTGAAGATTCACATTATGTTGCAGAAATTGATGTAGGCACTGCGGGGATAGAAAGGTAAATAAAAGACAGTACCAGTGTTAGTCTGTTCATGCTACTTTAACAAAATAACACAGACTGGCTAATTTATAGACAACATAAATTTATTTCTCACAGTCTGGAGGTTGGCAAGCCCAAGATCAAGGTGCCGGCACATTGTCTGGTGAAGGTTTTCTCTTTGCTTCCAAAATGGTGACTTATTGCTATGTCCTCACATGACAGAAGACAGGGAGGACAAAGGAGGGTGAGCGCTGTGTCCTCACGTGCGGGGAAGAGCACCAATCTGGGTACAGGGTGTGTGGGGAGCCACAAGCAGAAGGGGAGGGTGAAGTAAGGGTATATGGCAGATGGACTTCATATACCTACACAAAACAGAATTAGGAAACCTCTTGCAATTGCTTTAAGTGGGGTGGGGAGGGGCTGGAGGGGAAGAGAAGATGGGAGCAATGTAAAAACTGTCACTATGAATCTTCCCTGTATAATGAATACATCCTAATTAAAAAAAAAAAAAGCACTGATTTCCTCAAGAGAACAAACCTTCATGAGAATCACTCCGAAAAGGCTTGCTTTCACTCTATCTCTCTCTGTCTTTCTTCAGACAAGGTCTCACTATATAGTTGGCCCCCAACACATGAAATAAAAGTACAGGTGTTAATTAGTGTTATTTTTATTTTGTGCGACCTACTGATTACAGAGTTGACGATAGTATACGGAAGTTCAGAGGAAGGCAATACCCGTGGAAAAGTTCATAAACGTTTAACCTTATGCACTTCCACAGACTCCAGTTGCAAAGCTACTACCAAGCCAATTCTGACTGCCACCAGCACTGTCAATAGCTGCCTTCCTTAGTAATTTCAGCTGTTGTTGTTTCTTTGAAGTGATTAATGCGCTAGAAGAAAATTACATGATTATGATAAAAGTTAAAAATAAAGAAGGTTAAAAAGTCTTAAACTGGTTAGGAAACAATTGTGCACGTAGGTAAAGGATGAATCATTTGATAATCTGAAGGATAAGTAGGAAATAATGTAACAAATAACAAGTGTTATGTTCATGCCAGCCTTGCTCAGCTGGAGGTGATTTTGCTACCCCAGAGCATTTGGAAACATTTTTTTATTTTTACAACTAGGGGGTGCTAGTAGCATCCAGTAGGTAAAGGCCATGGACACTTATAAACATCCTATAACACACAAGACAGACCTCCCAATAAAGAATTATCTGACCCCAAACCCTAATACCGTCACTAGTGAAAAAGCCTGACATAGACAGTAATCAACAAAAGAAAAGAAAACATAATTATTGACAAAATGGAAAACTTTTGACTGTATGGCTCCAGAATCTTTACCATTAACTGTGGGTAAAATTACTTCAGGAAATAGCTAGGAGTTTATTGTAGAACTCAAGTGCTAGACATATATGTTATGTCACATACCATGTGTGGTTCCCTTGTCATAATGTTCCCTAAGTTTATAACACAGAAAGGTGAGGCAGTGAAATGCAGATACCAGAAATGGCAGGAAGCTCTGTGCAATCCTGTAGACATTGGTGCAATTACCTGCCTCACTAGATTTTTCAGTGTCTACCTTTGAAAAACAAAATTCTGGCCAAGCATATCAGAAATGTGGAGATGAGAATGCCTGGTTTTAAAGCATCTAGGATGAACTCTCCTTCCAAACATAGTAAAAGTACATCATGGTGCTATAAACCCTCTTAGTCATCATGGACTTAAGAATAAATTGATTTAAGAGTACTTTTTGGGGACCCAAACTGTTGCTATATGGATCAGTTTCTGTATTGAGTTGTCTTCCATATACAGGATTCATGAGAAAACTATTTAAAAGACATAACTAAAATAGAAAGTTAGAGGAAGATGAAAAAGTTTCAATGTCAGACTAAGAAAGTCACACTTTTGTCTGCAAGTAATAAGGAGCTATTCCTTTTGTGTGTGTTTGGTGGTACTGGGGTTTGAACTCAGGGCCTCAAGTTTGCTAGGCAAGTAATACTGCTTGAATTAGCCCTTTCTTTGTGTGATGGGTTTCTTTCAAGATAGGAGCTCATGAATTATTTTCCCAGGGCTGGCTTTGAACTAAGATCCTTCTGATCCCTGCCTACTGAGTAGCTAAGATTACAGGCATAAGCCACCAGGACCAGCAGAGCTATTGCTTTTGAAGAAGGAAGAAATGTAATTAGAGGTTAAGGTTTTAGGTTTTTGTCATAGTGTTAAAGAATTTCAAAAGTTAGAAACTCAAAACAGGATGACCAGTATGCAGGCTCCAAATGACCCAAATGAAACATGATGAGGGCCTATCTCAGGTCCTGAGATTGTAATGAACAGCCACTAAGTCTATAAAATAAATAAAGCTTCAAGGAAGCATTAACAAGGACTGGTGGAGAGGCTCAAGTGTTAGAGGGCCGGCATGCCAAGTGTGAAGCCATGAGTTTAATCCCAGGTACTGCCAAAGAAGTATTATCAAAACAAAGACAAACCAATGAAAAGAAAGGAAGTAAAAAAGAGAAACCAGATTAAGTATGTCTTAATAAGACATGTGGTAAGAAAAGCGATTAAGTTGGCTTACCTTTTGATTTCTTCTGAAGTGGTACCACAGTGCATGTCTTAGTCTTCTTTATTCTAAAGATTATATATGGTCATAGAATCACTGGTATATAAATCCAGGGTGCATTAACTTGAAAAGATACAATAAGAAGCAAGCAACATATTTTCAGTGAAACTTGCTTGGTTTTTTGTTTCTTTTGGTCCTGGGGATCAAATCCAGGGTCTTACACTTGCTAAGCATACATTCTACCACTGAGCTACACACCTACCCCAAAACTCACTTTGTTAAATGGCGTTACATGGAAATTAAGTAAACATTAAAGAAAGCAAACTCCTTCTACCATAACTAAACCAATCAGAAGCAGATATGAACCAACTCAATATCTTAGTTTTTCCTAGTAAATATTACCAGTAGATGAGGGCCATGTCTCATTTTCCCTACAGGTCTTGTCTTTAAACTCTTGGTAATCATGACTCAAGCAACACTAAGAGGAGGAGGATCAAGATTAGCAGGCATCTGGATGTGTCAGACGTCAACTACCCCTTACTTGTGCACTTTTTATCTATCAGTCACTGTGATCTGAATGTTGTCATAATTAACATCTGTTCCCACTGAACTAGGTCATAATTTTATCTACTGCAGGTGAGGTAATCCATCATAAGAATTCTAAATTTCTATATTAAACTTTGAAATTCAACAGCAACTTTTAAATAGTCTTTACCTCTAGGATTACTGTTCTGTGACGTTCCCATAGTTATGCTGTGAGACTCACTAAAACCTTCTGATCAGCATTAAAGAAATTTGAGAAAGGATGAGACTTTTATAAGAGTCTTTAAAATCAAACATTCATATATGGGTGAAAAAGAGAAGAAGGGAAGGGGTTGTATACAAAACAAAAAAAAGTACTTCCCTGCTTTGCCAAGATTGTTCTTTCACAGTGTGCCGTGCAATTCGCAGAGGGGGATAAAACATTTGTAGGCAACTTGACATGTTCTCACCAGAATGGCTAAAATGAAGACAGTGGTGTCAAAAGCAGGGAGAAGAACTACATTTCTATTTTCATATCCATTATGGTACTTAGTCACCACCATTCCACTTTATAAAGAATGCTTGTCATAACATAAATAAAATGTATTCACATTATTCTTCATTGACTTAAACAAATTCACACTCAAGTCAATGTAAAATGTTTAAAAACAATTTCCCAAACAGCCAAATCACAAATGAAATACAAAAATAAAACACGGATATCATTGAAAATGATGAAAAATAGTATATATATATGATTTGTTCATTATGGTGGTGTTTACAAAACCAAAAAAGTCAAGGCAACTTAAAAAGTCCAATAATAGGAAGTGATTAGATAAGCCATGTATCCATCAATAAATGTAACATGGCAAATAAGACTGTTTAAAAATTATACAGTGACATAAAAATGTACATATGCAACATTAAGTTTAAAAAGGGAGGATAAAAATTTGTAAGTACACAGCAACATAAGATCTGTGAAAATAAAGGATAGAAGAAAATACCTAAGCAACAATAAAAACTGATATATCCGGATAAATAGATTATTAAATAATTGTTTTTATCCAGATTTTTTTTGTAGAATTCTTATTTATTTTCATAATTTAGATAAATATTGTCTACAACTTTTCATGTTCAGTATGCTCTAGTTATCTATTTATATTACTGCAATTTACTTCAAGAATATTTACCAACAATAATATTAATTGGAAAACTCAAGAAATGAATTCTAAAATTCCAGTCTTGTCAGCCATGTATGTAATTGGCTGACTTTAAAGTTCATTTGGTAGCAAAATAATACGCAAATATGAATCCTCCCCTAAAGAAAGTTGCAACTCAGAATTCTAAAAGTGCTTCATTTGGGGGAGAAGCTGGCACTGAGAATAAGTACTAGACATTCAATAAATAGTTTGTAAGGAAAAACATATATCCAGGGACCAGTGACTCATGCTTTCAATTCTAGTTACTCAGGTGGCTGAGATTGGGAGGATAGTGATTCAAGGTCAGCCTGGGCAAATGATCCTTGAGACCTCATCTCCAAAATAACCAGAGCAAAAATGGACCTAAGGTATGGCTCAGGTGGTAGAGCACCTGCTTTGCACATGTGAATCCTTGAGTTCAAACTCCAGCCCCACCAAAAATAAAGCTAGAAAGTAAATAGAATATGAGACTGTCTCACTAATTTAGAGATCGATTTCTTTGGAGAAAGAGGTTTTCTTTTAGTGGTATATGTGACACTCTGATTTACAATAAGAAAGTAGAAATATTTTTAAATCGTAGTACTCAAAGTCAGGGAGACTTTCTAGCTGTCTATATGGGGTTTTGATTTCTCTTATACTACTTCAGTTTTTCTAGAATTGAAACACAAGGTTCTATCTTCAAGGGACAGAAATCTGCTAATGCCACAGAGAGTCAAATACTTTTACTGATAAACATTCCAATGCTCTATAGGCATGGTTTGGATAGGGAAAGCAAGAGTTTGAAAAGGTGCATGCCTGCAATCCCAGCACTCAGGAGGCTGAGGCAGGAGACTCAAGTTGGAGGCCAGCCTGGGCTACATAGCAATCTTTTCTGGCAATGTCACCTGTAAACAGAGAAAAGTGCCTATATGTCAATCTGAATAAATGTCTAACTTAGATTTTTGAAAATTAAATCCTTTAGGGAAAAGTCAGTAGACAAGAAAGAATTAGATTCATAGCATGTAAACCTCTACAGCAGCAGCGTTACTACAAACAACTATTCATCAAAAGACACCTGAACAGCAATGATTACCTGATTGTGGGCATCTCAGTGTTGGCATGCAACAGTCGCTTATGAACCTCTAGTGGACTTGAACTTACATTCTTCTGGCCACTTGGCAATCCTGGTAAATACGGCATTTTGACACATTCTTTGGGCTCTTGTATCCCAAATGCTGTGGTGTATTCTAATCAAAAATATTATAACCATCTTGGTTAAATGCATACTTCTACTTTCACTGCATATCAAAATGCACAATAAAATATACAAAATTGGTCATTAAGTAAAGAAATCAAAGCAATTGTATTTTATATCTAGCATCTTTCTTAGAGAATGTCTTCCAAATCCTACCAGAGAGACTTATAGAGAGTTGGTTAAGAATTAGAACAGGGACAAAGGACAGCTTCACAGATCTTCCACAGTTGTCACTATCCACTGCCTTCCTTGTTTTATTTAATTAGAAATTCCAGAATATTAGCATCACGTTTAAATGAAAAACACTTTCAAGAGTCTTGTATTAAGCCAGGTATAATGGTGCATGCCTGTAGTCCCAGCATTTAGGAGGCTGAGGTAGAGGGATCTTGAACGTAATACCAGCCTGAGCTACACAGCCAGGCCCTGTCTCAAGCAAACAAACAAAACAAAACTTAAAAAGAGTCTTGTATCATCTACTACTTTGAATTTTTTTCAACTTTCCTGCTTTTTTCTTTTTCTTTTTAGACAGGGCCTCAATATGCAGTCCAGGCTGGAGCTGTGGTCCTCCTGCCTCGGCCTCCCAAGGGCTGGGATTACAGACACCCAAACACTTCTCTGCTTTTATGGAAATAATCAAGAGGCATAAATCCATGACCATCTGAGCTATCAAAGAGAGAGAAAATATTTCTACCTTAGGCATTGATTTTGATATTCACTCCACAAAATTGCGTACCAAATTTATAAACAGCAACACTGAAGCATCAGGTTGCTTTTACGGACCTCACACATCAATGGATAAAGAGACTGCCAAATTTTCTTCTAAAAATCCAAACAAAGCATTAAGGGGAAAAGGCAGATAAGAGGTTAGAGGCTCGGGTGGTTTTTAAGTGCAGAGCACTGCTTTCAGAAGCTTCTGTGCCAAGCTAGAGTTCCATGTTACATGTTCAAGCGCCATGCTGCCATCTTTCTTTTTTTTTCCTCCCTTGAAAAAATATTTTCTCTTAATTAAAAAAAGAAGTACAGATTGAGTCCTCAACATCAGATTTGGTGGATAGGCTGGTGTCCTCTGAGTGCCTTTAATGGGAAGCTGGGGAAAAACTGGGAAAGCGCTCAGCTGCACACTGCCAACCAACAGGGACGGAACTGCAGAGGACTTTTTTGAATTTTGCCACTTTCAAGAATTTTATCTCCATTAATAAATCCGAAGCAGAATTCAGGATAAATAAAAAAATACAATTGTAACTTTCAAGGAAGGAAGGAAATCTATTAATATAACATCAAATTTTTCAAACTTGTCTTTATTGAGCAATTATAGGATAGTTGATGCTCTCCACATGACGCACTCAAAAAAATAAAATTTTGGTTGGAATTATTAATACACAAAGGCATTGCTAAAAATTTGAGTGTCTGAAAATATAAAACTCAACTCAAGATATTTTAAAGGAAAGGCTATGAAAAGGGGTGTGATCCCACAGAAATAATTATACACTTGATCAAGAGAAATAATTCTCTAAAAATTTGCTTCTATTCTATTAATTTTATTTTGCTCATTTTCTTTTCTTAGCATATTATCCTGATATGAACGTGATGAAAAATTATGAAACAGCTCTTAACTGCTTAGAAAAATTACATGTCAATTCAAGGCACTACTTCTATGCTTTCTTAAAGAAAATAATAATAAAAATGAAGTTACCCTTTTTCATCTTTTGTGTTTCTAAAACTGCTTTCCTCCAACTATTCTCAAAAGGAAAACAGTTGTCCAAGGAGCTTCGAGTGACTTTAGAAGTCTCAAATTTGATTTCAGGAGATAGCACAGACATTTTTTCTTCTTCTTTCAACAGTGCTGATGAAAGTGAGCTGCTGCTCCAGACACAGGGCAGAGAAACAAAGAAAACAGACCCTGCTTGTAAATATCTTTTTCATTCGTTTTTCATCACAGAGATTAAATTCTAACACGGATTTACTTACAACATGTAAATACATCTTAAAATAAGAGGCTTTTAAGAATAAAGCAAAAATGTATAGTCATGATTTTTTAAAATTAAGTATTTTAATGTTTTAATGAATTCTTTCAAATTCTAGATTACAGGTATTTGACAGTATTTTTAAAAATGTGATGCCAGGCGTAGTGGTGCACGTCTGCAATCCCAGCGCTTGGCAAAGGTAAGAGAATTACATATTTGAAGCCAGTCTAGACTACATAGTCTCAAAAAAAAAGGTAAGTCTAACAAGTTATCATCTACAAAACAATAGAATGCTTAGGATTCTTTCAGAAGTACTGCCATTATAAAATGCATTTGTGCCTGAAAAAAATTTTGTGTTCCATGGAAAATAAATTTATCCTCAAGATAACCATGACTTTGGCCTGGGGATGGAGCTCAGTGGTAGAGCATTTGCCTAGCAGGCATGAGGCCTGGGTTTGATCCCCAGCAGGGGGGTGGGGGGTGGGGGAAGAAGAGAAAAGAGAGCCATTACTTTAAAAAACAAAGCAAGACTTGGTGGTGGTACTGGAGTTTCAGGATCTGATGCTAGGTAGGCAGGCAGTCTACCACTTGAGTCATGCCTCCAGCCCGTTTTGCTGTAGGTATTTTTCAAGAAGGGGCTTGTGTTTATGTCTGGGCTGGCCTGGACTATGATCCTCCAGTTTACACCTCCACAGGGATGGTGGTGAAGTGCCTGCCTGGCATGCATGAGGTCCTGAGTTCAAACCCCAGTACCCAAAAAAATGTAGCTATTTATATTTCCCATGTAGCTGGGATGACAGACATGCCCCACCACATTCAGCTTTTTATTGGTGGAGAGGAGGTCTAGGAAACTTTTTGATAGGGCTGGCCTTGAACTGCAATCCTCCCAACCTCTGCCTCCCGATTGCAGGTGTGAGCTCACCACACCCAGCACATCATAGTTATTCTTAAACATAGACATAAAGGACAGCCAATCACGTATCCTGCTTACTTAATATATTCAGAATGGGAGATGTGGCTGTGGTTCAAGTGGTAGAGCGCCTGCTTTGTAAGCATGGAGCCCTGAGTTCAAACCCAGTCCCAACAAAAAAAAGAAAGAAAGAAAAGAAAAAAAAAATGGTTATACATCATTTCAGATTTCTATTAAAAATATATTTTTTTCAGTATGTATCCAGTTCATATATATTGTCTACTTCATGATGCAAGGCATTACTAAACTCCAGTGAGAGTACAACCATAAGCAAGTCACAGTCCCTACTCTCAGGAGTCCCCTCAGAATAGCGAAGAATGACTACAGCCACCACAATCACAATTCATTGAATGTCAGTTACTCCAGTCTCCTTCCTCAGTATTTTATAACCATTTTGTCCTCTCTTCAAAATAAAAGGGTCACAGGTGGCCAGATTTAACTATGCCATACACTGGTACAGTTCTATGCCAAGATTTGCACAAGGCATTGGAGACACGTGCTAACAAACAGTCCCTGCCCTTGAGAAATTTGATCCCAGTGAAGGCAACAGACAAGGAAACGGGTAGTACAGTTTAGTAAGTGCTGTGATGGGGGGATAACCAAAACCAAAACAAACAAAAGCCCAGAGAACTACATGAGCACACAGGAGGGAACCCTAATCCAGTCTTGGGTACTGGGGAATCCTTTCCAGATGAAGCCAGCAAAGCCAAGGTGTGAAGAAGGAGGACAAGCACGTGAAAACACTTGGAAGTGAGGGGCAATGACTGCAGCACGCACATGTGCTGCGCACAGCAGGGAGGGAGGGAGAGAAGCAAGAATGAGGGCAAGAGTGTAAGAAGAGAGAGGGAGGCAGGTGACTGGCAAAGAGAAGAAAGAAAGGGGACAGGAGGAAGAGAGAGAAGGGGAGAGGGAGCAGGGATGGGTAGACAGGAAAGTACCCCTCAGAGATGGGAGAGTGGAGAGAGGTGAACCATCTCCAAGGAAGGCTACTCCTAGGAGCCAGCTGTGTACGCAGAGAAAATGAGCATAAACTAAAGGGGAAAGTCTTGGATTTGGTGATGAGATCTGGGGTTGGCTTGAAATGGCAACGTTGGCAGTAAAAGGTGAGGGTGGAGGCCAGACAGTAATGGGCTCCAAGGTGGCAGCGAGGAAGTGAAGCACTTTAGGGAACAGTCAGGGCCAGCAAGGTCAGGGACAATCTCAACTCTGCATGGCCCCACTTGGGCTTCTCCAACCTGACCGCCAAGTGCTCTGGCCCTGGCCCAGGATCCCCACCCTGCAGAACGTCTCAGGGGTTTATTTGCTAATGCCACCTCCACCCTCTCTATTCTTGGGGTTGATCCTCTTCCTAAGCAACAAAGAAAGAAGAGTGCTCATGCTTTCTTTAATGAGCTTGAAGACAAGCTCATAAGCTCTTTCTTGATTTCAAAGGATTTGTTGCTAAAGACTTGAAAAAACAAACAAGACAGTCATGAAGGCAATAGCAATGATGACAATGACAACGAAACTGAACTGAAATATGGAGTGAATTATAACTGCCAAACTCTTAAAGTACTCTCAGAATCACAATCCAGACTCCATTTTAGGAACTTCTTTCTCCTTTTTGTTTATAGAAGAAGTTGGAGATGACCAGACAACAGTCTTTCAGCTTCAAGACAGCCTCCTCTCCCTCCTAGAAGCCCCTCTTCCAAGACAGACGAGGCAACTGGGACTCCGCTCCAGTGCACACCTGCATTTCTGAACATCCCAGACTGAATTTTTCTAGAAAGTTCATACAACAAGCATGCAAGGATTCACTACACTGTTATCTCTACATTTTTGTTCATGTTTGAAATTTTCCATAATAAAAAGGTTTTTTTAAAGCCCACTTAGGTATGTATTGAAATAATGAAAAACCATCTTTGATCTGATGTTTCCTGTAAACATGATCACCACATTTTGCTAGTAGAAATAGAAAGATTAAGGATACTTTATAGGTCTAATAAAAAGACCACTAAAAAAAAAACCCTACATGTGCCCGTTTTAGGGCAGGCAATAAAGAACTCATTGAAAGCAAATGCTTTCTCAACTTAACAGTAGAGAGAATCAGGGTTGAGATAAACTAATTGCTTAAAACTAGCAGCTATGAAATAATTACTTTTTCAATCTACTCCCAAAATAAGGGTGCATTTAAATTTTTTGTTTTGGAAATATTCTAAATATTTTTAAGTTAAGATTTTTTTTTTTGATTACCTAGCTTAGAAGTAGAAGAAAGAGGTAAACAAACGCTTGTACATCATTTCGTTCATTCAACAAAAACTTACTGAATACCAATTATGTCAGCTACTGAGGGTATTATTGGGAATTAAACCAGGTAAGATCCCTGTTCTGAAGTTCAGTTGGGGGAACTCAAATAATAAGTAAGAAAGCAAATAAATTTATGTCAGAAAAAGTACAAGGCAAGAAAAGTCAGTTCTCATTCCTGGGGATAGCTACGGTCACAATATTTTCAACAGCCAATCAATTCATAACCTTGTTTTCTGCGTTTCTGTTTCAAGACCCCTTTCTTGCTGTGTTGAATGTAGCCTACCTAACACATGTATTTCCTTCATCCTGCACATCACAGCCTCCCTGCACTTAGCACTAAACAATGCAAAATCAACAACAAAAGCACAAAAATATGAAAAATACAGCACTAACTAGGCAGTGAAAGGGACGCTTGCTTATGAACTGAAACGAGAAAGAAAAATGTCACCCTATTTCACCTCTGCTGAGAATGTATGCAGAAGGTGGCTCAAATTTTTCACTGTTCTATAACTTTTTTTTCACTCATTTGAAATTGGGTCATTTATGTATTGAGATCTAGTTTGTTTAACTGGTCTTGTTTGTTGCTGTTTATAGCACATAAATTTTATGAGTATGCATTTATCCAGTTTTATACAGATGGTCATGTGAATTGTTTGCAGTGTCCCAATCTTGAAAACAATGTGACTGTTAAACATCTTTGTGTATACGTTCTTTTCTACAGAGTATATACCTGAAGTTGGATTCACCCAAGAAAGGTGCAGATTTTGAATTTTACATACTGTTATTAGATTATTCTCCATGTGTGAATGTCAATTTATATTGAGTAAGTTAGTGGTTGTATCAGTTCGTATTCCCATGAGTTTTTGTTTACACATATTCTTATGCATACTTGTAAAGAGTAAGCCATTTTATTTTTTGCTAATCTTTGCATGCAAAACAGGACTTCATTGTTATGTTGATTTTTCCCCATGAAAATAGTGTTTCTTGGTCACTTAGCTTCCCCCTTCTGCGAACTACCTGTTTCTATGCTTTACCTATTTTCTTACAGAGTTTTACCTCATTCTTATTGCTTTGTAGAAGTTCTTTGCATGATTGGAGCACTGCCTCTCTAAACATTACATTTTAGCTACCTTCTCCCATTATTGGTTTATCCTTAACCTGCTTATTGAGTACTTTAGTTTATCAGAAACTTTAAATTTTGATACAATCAAATTAGTTAATTTTTTCTCTATGAATATTACATTGAAGAAATCCTTTCTTCCATCCCAAGACATTAAGATAAAGTTCAGATACTCTAATAAATACTAAAATCTGGCTCTGGGCCCTTTATACTATTTCCCTGGTCTTACTGACAACCTCTGAGCCAATGTCACACTTAATTTCTAAAAATAATGTACATGTATGGTTTTTTATTTGGTTGGTTTTGGTTTTTTGAAGCTTCCTGAGAAAGGATTAGTAGTAGGTAAAGTTGTTTGAAAATATGAGTGTCTGAAAATTGTCTACATTTTACCCTCAAGTTCAATGATAACACAGAAAGGGAATAGTTTCAATTTAGAAATGGTTTTTGCAAAAGTTATGAAAAGATTATTCCACTATATGTTTCTTGGTTTTTTAAATTATTTTATTAGTATATATTAACTGTACA